ATATATATATATATAAGTGATCATAATGAAAAGCCTAAAAAAAGCAAAGTTAAACTGCTTTTAGCTACTAAGCCCCCATAATATTTCTAAGATACAACTAACAATAAGCCATAACATCAAAGTGGCCCTCATCAAAGAAAATATAATAATAATAATAATAATAATAATAATAATAATAATAATAATTATGCTTGCATGCCATCCTAGGATACTAGAGTATATAAACAAAGTAAACAAGCAGAGGGAGAGGCAAAAATAATTACAAAAGCAGCTACCTGGAATAATTGCTTCATTGCCAGCATGAGCACCAAGTAAATTGAGGTTATGAGTTCCCTGCAGTAGTATTATTAGTCTGACCAATATCATTTGGTGCAGGAAGGAGAAGGGAGAGCCTTTGTTTGTAACGCTCGATTCTTAGAAGCCGTTCTCTTCTGAACCTGCGCGGATAAGAATAGATTTAGGGGCATTTACATGCATACCATCAAATCCTATGCATTTACATATCGGAACACCTAAATTTTATTTTTTTTCATTTATACCACCTAAATCTTTCGTGTCACATAAAAAATATCACTGTTTTAATTTTTGAAAAGTGAAATACACCTTTTTTAAGCATAGTTAAGGTGACAAAGATGCAACAATTGCAGTTTAGGTGTTAGAAATGAAAATAGATAAGAATTAAGTGGTATGTATGTAAATCTTTCTAGATTTTACTATAAGGATGTAATGGTTAGGCCAAATCTAGAATTCAAGAGTGGCGTTCGATTCTTAGGAGCCGTTTTATGCACGATGCTAAAAATCTTCGGAAGAGAAAGAAGTTGATGAATTTGAAAACTTTGTACGCCCCATAATGCCAATTTATTTTATTATTTGACAAAAGAAGTTAGCTTTTTCTGTTACTTTGATTGTGACATGGACCTTGATAGCTTAATACCCACGTTTGATGATGCGTTTTATAATTGCATGGTATTGATCTCCTGAATGCTATTGTGTAGACAATCTGTTGGTTAAGGACATAACTTATGGGCTGATTGCTTATGAACATTTATGTTTTGGAGCATTTAAATACATACCGCCCAATTTCCTCCGTATTTCATTTAACTCGTAAACTTTGATTTTTACATTTATACCACCCAAATCTTTCATATATGTTGAATCCAAATTTATCCGTGAATAGGGGAGGGAGGGAGGGAGCGAGGGAGAGAGACCGATGAACATTAATACGTTAAGCCTTATTCGTGAAATAATCTTCTTATTTATAGAGGAGAGGGTACAATATGGTGATATTACATTTCTGTGAGTGCTTTAATGAGGTTGGGCCATAAAGGATAATCTAGATATTTATATATATGAGTCTATCAATAGTCTAAGCTTGTTAGACTTTGGCTTGATAAGAATGATTTGACTGAGTTTGATTGGCTTCAGGCCTGTTAGATTGCTTTGGTCAGCTATAAGTTCGGTCGGCGTTGCCAAGCAACTATTCTGGTGTGGCTGTTGCCCCTCGATCCCAGGGGAGGAAGTCCTGCCAACAGAGCGAAGCTAGGCTATTGAGCAGAGGGAGAATTACTTTCCCGATAGGTAGTTTGCTCCTTAATGAGGAGAGCCCAAGGAATGACTATAAGACTTCTATGTTTCATTTTTACTACTTGATCACTGATGAGGAGGCTTGGGGGCATCCGTGTGATTGTTTGTGATATTTAGGAGCATGACCTTTCCTCAGGTTGGATCTACCAATAAGTTGCTGCGTTCAGTCAACTTTCTTGTCAGGGCTGCACGGATGCATATTTGTCTCGTTTCAGTCATAAGGGTTTGGGCTCAAACCACGGTCGACTTTGCCCTTGTTACCTTTGGCCCGGATGACTATCTGGTCGACTTTTAATCTTGGTTTAGATGGCTGCATTTGGTCAGCTTTTGCTTTGGCTTAGATGGTTGTGTTTGATCAAGCAAGTGGGCCGCTTGATCTTTTGTTAGTGGGTCATCCCTTGTCGTACTTCCTTTTGACTCGTTAGATCTCCTCAGAATCAGCGCCGACACATGTTTTATAATCAATTTCACCCATTTTAATTTTTTTAAAATGAAATACACATTTTCATGCATGGTGGTATATACATGTGAAAATTGAAGTCTAGATGTTAGATAAGAATATACATAGGAATTGAGTGCTATGTATATAAATCTTTCTTATGTTTTTCAGTTTCTATAAAAAAGCAAAAAGATCCCACTTCCTCAAAAACCGCCAAAAATCATAGGCAATCTTTAATGAGCATGGTGCTCCTCCATAGCATCCGCCCGCCACAAGCCAATAGGTCATTGTTACTTTCACCAGAAATCAGGAGCATGGGATTGATCACGAGGAACATCGGAAACTCATCAATAAGAGATATGTTGTACTTATCGAGTCCATTGAACTCCTCATTAAAGTAATAAACCCATAGCGAACTTTGTAAAGTATCTCTTTAACACAGTGAAAGCATCTAACACTTCCTCGCTAATGCTTCCTATGGTTTAGGGTTTATTGCACGACAACCTTGTCAGCTTCATTCATTTTCTTTGTTGCAGAGGATCTGTCTTAGAGGCCAAATTTTTCCATTTAGAGTATAAACACTATGTATAATTTTAAGCAAAAAAAAAAAAAAAAAGAGGGGGAATTGCACAACTCAAAATGAAAAAGTTTGACAATGCTCAAAATATTTTTTTGTTTAAAATTTTCAAACTTTTGATAAATTTCCATATATTTTTAGATTCTTCTGTATTTTTGTTTTCACTTTGTTATTTTGCTTTTTGTGTTTTGAAAATGTCGCAAAATATTAAGATCATTCCTCTACCTCTTGATTCACTCGAGCACATGTGCTTGTGGTTAGTTGCTGGAATTAGAGAATTGAGTTTGCCCATGCTTTTCAAGGTGACTTGCTTTTGCTTCAAAGTAATTTAATTACAATTTTTGTCAAAAAGCATACGAAACACTTCGGACCTTCTCTGATTTCAAATATTTTTCGCGCCTTGCCAACAACAATTTTTTTGTAAAATTCGTTGCCGGTCCCAAGCCCGGATGCGAAAAGTGGAGGATTGCGTTAGGTGGTTGACAGCCGGCGTAAAACTTGTCGAAAAATCATGACATGTTTGAGATTTTATATTTTGAAGTATTAACATTCTTTTCGATGCAGCATTTTGCACCTCTAAAAATGCTGCTTTGCATGCATTTGGCAGTGTTATTCTTGGTGACAAGTTCCTCAAAATTCATGCAAAAGGTTTTTAATATATTTTATTAACTGTTGCAAAAGGTTTTTAATATATTTTATTAACTGTTTGGATTTTTTCAATGTAATTCTAATTTAAGCCTAATATATTTGGGAAAGCACACATTCTTATGCTTATATGCATTTTGGCCTGCATGTTGGCCACTACACATGCCTGCTTTAATGATAAAGTGCATGCTTCTCCAAGCAATTTATCATTTACTTTTTGTTCGAACAGGAGGATTGACCAAATATTTTATTATTTTTGTTGGTTTACATCAGGGATCGGCTTTAAGCCCATATCTTTTTGCTTTAGTTATGGATGGTCTTACTGGACACTTACAGGAGGATATACCTTGGTGTTTGCTTTTTGCTTTTTGCTGATGATATCCTTTGCTGATGATATCCTTCTCATGGATAAGACAAGAGAAAAAGCTCCGGAAAAACTTGAATTATGGAGGTCTACCTAGGAATCTAAAGGCCTTTGTTTGACTAAAACTAAAACTGAATTCATGAAATGTAATTTTAGTAGTTGTAGCTCTAGTGACAGAAATGTAATTATGGGCGATCAAATTATTAAAATGTGTAAACACTTTATAAATCTCGGGTCTATTGTTCAAAGTGATGGTGATATTAATGGGATGTTATTAGTAGAATTCAAGTTGGTTAGTTGAAGTGGAGGAATGCTTCAGGCCTATTGTGTGATAGAAAAGTACCGCTTAGACTAAAAGGAAAATTTTATAAGAGGTGGTGAGACCTGCAATGCTCTATGACGCTGAATGTTGGCCTTTAAAAGAGAAGCATAAAACTAAGTTAAGTGTTGTCGAGATGAGAATGATTACGTGGATGAGTGGCTTTACACTTAGAGACAAAATGCAAAATGAATATATCCGTGATAGGGTTGGTGTAGCTCCAGTGACGGACAAAATTAGAGAGTAGTCTTAGATGGTTTGTTCACATTAAACGTCGATCATCTGATGATCCGATTAAAAGAGTAGATGTTTTAGATTCGACTTATGTTAAAAAAGACAGAGGTAGACCTAGGAAGACTTGGACATATATTATAAATGATCTTAATTTATTAGAATTAAATGATATTATGACACTAAATAGGGCGCAATGGAGAAAAAAGATATATGTAGCCAACCCCACTTAGTGGGATGAAGGTTTTGTTGTTGTTGCTCATTCGGGAGTTTGTAAGCATGCAAGATGTAAAATTTTGGTGACTGCTTAAAATAATGTTTTATTGTGTTTCATGAATTATTCATTCTTATACTGAGGCCAGTCCTTCGGTGCAGAAATCTGCATCTGAAATTAGCCATCATGCACATAATTTCCATTATTTTAAGTTAGTGGTGAGCAATATGATTCCAGGGCACTCACCTTCAATTTGCTGGTAAGTCGCCGGATAAATTTCATCTTTATTTCACTTTTTAGTCTTTTATACAACTTTTTCTATGCAATTTTTGGTATTTCATCATCTCATTATGTATTATTAGCGTGCAATTTTGAAGTTTTATCACATTATTTAGTATTATCAAAAGTGGCATACCAATAGATTAAGCAAAGCAGTTTCCTCCAATATCAACTCGATGAAATACATAAATCGAGTTTAATAATAATCTCCTTTATGAGTTAGTCAAGCATTTATAGGTAATGAACCAAGAGAATTTGACTTTTCATGGAAGGCTTGATCATTTAAAGAAGTGAGAGTAAGAATTAGGCTTCGTTTGGGGAGCCTTTCCTTTCATAAAAATTTCTTTAAAAGCAAATTCATTAAAAACAGTGGTATAAAGTTACGATTGCTAAATTCGATACTCCCGTTTGAATAGAAATTTTTTGTACTTTTTAACACTAATAATTGTATTAAAAAAAGAATATTTTAACCCCTATTTTTTAAAGTGGGATTACATATATACCACGTGAAAGTTTACTATTTACATATTGAACACCTAAACTTTAAATAATACACCCATACCACCCAAATCATCAAAAAATAATCACCCATACCACTCCGTCTTCCTCACCAAACGAGGTTATTTTTTGTTTGAATGCTATGATCTGTTGAAATGGAATGAGAAGAACTTCACATGTTATTACTGCTCCAATTAGCTTTCACAGACAAGGAATTCCTTCTCCCCTCCCTCCGGAGGAGGTAGGGAGGGAGGTTAATTGCTGCTGAAAGAAGCTAAGAGAGGTGAAGGGGATGGGGAGAGAGCGAGAGAAGAAAAAAGGCTAAATGCTGCTGAAAGAAGCTGAGGGAGGTGAAGGGAATGGGGAGAGGGAAGATAGAGATAAGGCAGATAGAGAATCTGACAAGCCGGCAAGTAATGTACTCAAGGTGATTTGGGATCAAAAACAAGGCCAAGGAACTGACAGTGCTCTCTGACGCCATCCAACACTTCAGGGCCAAGCTGGATTCAGGAGGATGAGGACAAAGGAAGGCGGAGGAACATAAGTCTGAAAGCGAGCGACCCAAGTGTAATTTAGACATTTTTCACTGACCAAAAGTGGAACGTAGGTCGCAAAACCAGGCAAGTTAGCATTCTCGAATGAGACAGAATTGGCGTTGTGGTGGAAGAAACGGTTGGAGAAAATCCTCATTCAAATAGAGCTTTTCCGTTTTCTTTGCTTTCGCCGAACTGCAACGGAAACGAAAAGTCTCAAACGAGGCCCTAATGCTATCATAGTAGGGATAGTAATGGTCCTAGCACACAGATAATTCGTCAAATCATATTATAGATCGCATTATGATCCACTACACGCTGATACAGACCCTACTATAGTTCTACCTTTATAAATCTTGATGTCATAACCCAAGTGATCGCCAGTAGGGATTATTGTGATCATCAGCTTGTTTCTCCTATAAGGCATTAAAAGAGAATAGTCCCACATGATGTTCCTTTCATAAGAGATCCCTATGATTAGCTCCGTCATGGAGGTGGTCAATGGGAAGATAAATAATTTAGAACACCTACCCCTATACACTGGGGTCAAGAAGAGCTCTATTGTATTTAGGAGTTTCTTAATGATGTGTGTGACCGCCTTTAGCGATACAAGCATGAATTTGATGATGACTATAAAAGTCAACAATGATGCAACTATGATGGGAGACTTGACCCCAAAGTCCTCCTTAATTAGATGGCCGCCTTGGACAACTACTTAAACTTTCAGAACATGTTTGAAGCAAGTGGTTAGCATTGCCACAATGAATTTGCGAGGGAAAAAAATAAAATTTATTGAAACAATGTTGAGCATAGGCATCTACAACAAGGTTATGATCCAAACTTAACTTGGGATAATATGAAAGAGATTGTTAAGGAGAAGAGCCTCCCTATATCATGTTTGAATCATCAAAGGGCAAGCTCATTCTTCATGCACTAGCTAGTTCACAATTGTAGTTGCTTTCAAGATTGCGGAACAAGTCAGCCTAAATGAACTATGGCTTGTTCTTTCAAGCCTGCGGACCTGAGTCAGCCTAAATGAATTAGGGCTTGTTCTAACATTGAATTTGGTGGCGCACATATTGAGGTCAACAGTACCTTAATATGGATTTTGTTTTTGATGTTCCTCAGTCATTTAGCAGGTAGGGCGCCACTCTATTTATTTCAGGAATAAAAAAACCCACTCCTAGGATTACAATGCAACAGAAAAAAAATAGTTCACAAATTCAGAACCAGAATAAAAATATCAAATGAAATTTAAAAGGAATATCAAAGAATCCAAATAAAATAAGTTAATTACCTTGCCCGAACTCTTTTAGCTCGCGTTATATGACCTGCTAAAAGTTCTTGTGCGGATAGCTGGTCGACGGAATCTCCCCACTGCAAATAAGTATGTTTATCACGAATTCTATATCGGCATTTGATTAATTTCACAAAAAATCATAAAAAACACCCTGCAACAGAAATTTAAAATATATCCACAGTATCACAGAAACAGAATGATTGATGAGGATGATGCCTGAAGAACATCAAATGCTATATTTCTTGTACTAAAATTTAATCACCTCATTAGAACTAGAACTAAAAGAACAAAATCAACGAGCTATTCAAATCTTTGGAGTTGAGACCACAAACCATGATTGAACAAACTTTTTCTTTTTACCATCAAGCAGAACATGTTAAAACACAGATGATTCTTATTATTTTCTCACCCGATTACAATGTTGTCCACGATTTATGCTTACAGTAGAAGTTAATGTGCAAAGTTTGCAATGAATTATGCCATTCCAACATTATTCCCTTATTTACATTATCAATTAAATCAGTAACATACATGGCTGTAATTAAATTTTGATGTTTTTGGCTAGGAAATAAATGAAATGCTTTAATTTTTTAATTTCAAATTATATCAGCAGCTTGCCTTGCATTTTCAACTCTCCGCAGATGCTGATACCAGCAAAATTTCCCATTTTTGCTTTTTCTTCCTGATTTCCTAATTATAGCAACAGCGAATTTTTCTTTATTTGAATTTACTCCCAATTTCTCGGCTGAACCAAAATCTCTATTGGTTTCTCAACTCTCCCCCACATACTGGTCTGAATATACCATCCGCAGCAAGGTGCTGAGTTATCAAAGCACTTTATGTGGGGATCCATAGTTAATATATCAGCAACTTGTTGTTCAAATGTCCTAGATGCAGAATAATCCTTCACCAAAATTTTCTTTAATGAAGTCATTATCAACTTACACATGTTTTGCCCTATAATGAAGAACTATACTGTAAGATATTGCGATAGCTGCCTTATTATTACAAAAATCTTTCATAGGTGATGAAATTGAATTATGGAAATCTTCAATTCTTTCAAAATCCCTTGATCCATATTACTTCATGGATCTGATGTGCAAGGTTTCTAAATTCAACGTCAACACTGTTTACAGGTGTAAACAAGTTGAGTTAAGCTCAAGCCACTTCCGTCTTAAGCTTAGGTTTGATTAATTAACTGAGTTCAAGCTCAAACTTAGTATGCAATAAAATGAGAAAAAGAACAAGACATTATAAGAGAAATAATAAGAGATCAATTGATATAAAAAAAATGAGATAACTTCCAATTATTTTTAAAAATTTTCTACTTTTGAATTTTAATATATTTTAAGCATATTTTATATTAAATTTTAAAACTAGCCAGCCATGTGATAATAATAAGTTGGATGAGGGCTTGCTCAAGCTTGCCCGTTTGATCATAAATCATGACCCATGAGCTATATGATGCACCAACACTTTCTTATAAAGAGGTATATAATGTCTAACATGTGCCGAACAAGGACATGCACGTGACATGCATTTGACACAAATTAGACATATTTATCGCATGTTCAATTTAAAAATAATATAAAACCATTTAAAAAATGCAGGTTTAACATGTGACATAAATAAATTTGTTTAAATTTCAAAAATAGTAGTTAATAGGTGACACCTCTATCAAGCATTGTTTTCGAGGAGGCATCATTTTCGAGGAGGCATCGATGCTCAACAGAAATCTAAGGAGTCGAAGAGGGCGACGAAGTTCCCTTATCTGTGCGATTCAGTTCTCGCATTTTGGGAAGCTTTTTCATGTATGTTGGAATGATCTCACGGGAGAAAGCCGGGCACGTGATTAGGGCTTGGTCGAAGATTATAAGGTAAGTTTATTAAGTTATTTAATAAACAGTAAATTATATATATATATATATTAGGGGAAAGAGCAGCGGTGACTCCCTACGCGTTAATTAAAAGAAAAAGTACAGAAATAGGAGAGTGGGAGGATCCCCGTCTATGAAAAAAAAATACATTTGACTCACCCCTAGAGGTTCCTCTCCCCACAGTATAACTCACACAAGAAGGAAACTCCAAAAATACAGGTATACCCAAAACCAAAGAACAAAAACCCAAAAATAAGTAAACCTGTGTTCTAGTGTAACTTGAAATGTAAAAAATAGAAAAAAGATGTACAAAAAGTGTCTTCAGGTTAGTAGAGTTCTCCAGAAGCATTCCCACGAGCAAACAAAAACCGTTTGAAAAACAGGAGCGTCATTTGAAATACAGGAGCGTAGAGCAGAGAGGTTCAAAACAGCGGTAGCCAACGAAAGACGTGAGAACAAAACAAAAACATGAATCAGGAACAAAAAGCAGCGAGACAGAAACCGACTTGTTGCAAAAACTTGAAAACCTGTCAAGCATAATAAAATCTCGCAAGAGGAGAGAGGCTTAAATACGGACATAAGGCAGATTCAAGTTATCCCCAATAAGGAGGCGTCTGAGAGGAGCAGGGAGGTAAATACCAACGTGACATACCTCCCCTGCATGCTTGGCTAACCAATCAACAGGGGAGTTGCCCTCTCTATGAATGAATTTCCAATTTACCTCAAGATGTCTTTCAGCCATAAAAGTTAAAATACGTTTAAAAGTGCAAAATATATCCCGGAGGGGATATATTTTACGTGCCAAAATGAGATTTTAAACGTGTTAAAATACGTTTAAAAGTTTCATGTCACGTTTAAACGTATTTTAAGAAATATTTTTGCTAAAGCGACACTTAAACACTGCCGTTGCCGGTCCCAAGCCCGGATGAGAAAAGTGGAGGATTGCGTTAGGTAGTCGACAGCCAGCGTAAAACTTGTCGAAAAAATCATGACATGAATCCTTTTGATCATTGTGTAAGTGCTAGGGCGTCCCCTGGAAGCGACGCGCTGTATAGCCTGAATACAGTGAAAAGTGTGCAAGGGCCGCTACACCGGCGCCCGGGTGTAGTGTTAAATAAGCAAGGGTTCCCACATTACGGGCGAATGCGGGTAAAGAAGTTAGTCCATGAAACTAATGAAACTAATATTAGGATAGGATCTTGGAATATAGGCACTCTCAATGGTAAATTAATGGAATTAGTTGATATTATGATTCATAGGAAAATTAATATCTTATGTATTCAAGAAACTAAGTGGGTGGGAGAAAAGACTAAGGAGATTGATAATTTAGGTTTTAAACTTTGGTATTCTCGTAAGAGTCGCACTAGAAATGATGTAGGTGTAATTATAGATAAAATGTTGAAAGATAATGTTGTAAAAATTAATAGAGTTGGTGATAGAATTATAGCCCTTAAGATTATCATTGATACTAAGATTTTTAATATTATAAGTGCTTATGCTCCTCAAGTAGGTTTAGATACAGAATCTAAAGATAAATTTTGGAATGACTTAGAAGACTTAATACAAATGATACCTCTTGAAGAAAGAATTTTTATTGGAGGAGATGTAAATGGACATGTCGGTAGAGTGGTAGAAGATTTCAGAAATATTCATGGTGGCTACGGTTTTGGAGTAACTAATGAAGAAGGTAAAGTTATTTTAGATTTTGCTTTAGCGTTTGATTTTGTTATTACTAATACTTTATTCAAGAAAAGGGATGAACATCTTATTACTTATAAGAGTGGATCTAATAAAACACAAATTGATTATTTTCTTATGAGAAGAAGAGATCGTCATGATTGTAAAGATTGTAAAGTCATTCCAAGTGAAAATTTAAATACCCAACATCGTTTATTAGTTTTAGATTTTAAGATTAAGAGTTGTAAAATAAAAAAATACTAGGACTCATCATTGCAGAATTAGATGGAGAAACTTAAAAGACACAAATAAAATTATTTTTATGAGTAAAATTCAAGATTTCAAAATTTGGGATATTCATGAAGAAGCAAATGTGATGTGGGATAAAGTAACAAACGCTATTAAACATGTAGCAAAAAATGTTCTTGGAGAATCAAAG